TTATATCTTTTCTCGTATATTTTGCTAATAAATAACACTTTCACAAAATACATATTATCCTCAAATTTTTGCTCGCTCGCTTCGCTCACTAGCCAAATTGTGAAACTAGAAAATTACTTTTCGGGCGAGAGGCTTCAGCCCCCCCCCCCCCCGATGAAAATGTCAAAAAAATTACATATGGTGCTTCTAATATGACATTGTCAGTTTTGGTATGTTGAGTTGAAAAACGGTCTGCGCAATTTTCAAATTTCCGGCCCCCCTATTGGAAAATCCTGGATCCGCGCCTGCTATGTCCCTTTTGCAGCTAACCTCAAATTCTGTAGAACTTTGCAGGAATTATGAATATGTCATGTATGTCCTATCTGTGAAATTTAAACGTTAGCAGTATCCTAATATTCAAATTATGCAAGGAAACCCGTTTATTTGCTAGACTTCACTGTCAGACACTATTGAGTGACTCACTGGCTTTTTCTTCTTTGGTAATAACATGCATGAAATGAGCTGCAAAGGGTATGAGCATTTGTCTACATCAATAACCCACTTCTTGTGATGGCCAAAATTAAACTGATTGAATCTTTGCGCAGCATAAAACGTATGACCATTCAGTACAATGGTCTGAAAATCAAAGACTATTACTTATTGGCTCTACAGCTCCTAAGTCGATTTGACAACTATAGTCGTTATTTTCCCACTTGAAGACATTTTCAAGCCCCACCTATTTTAGGGAAGTTCTAAATTAGTATTATCTTTCAAATGCCGTTGGAATTTTACCTTTTCATTTTTTGGCCTGCAAATAGGACATAGTACCTTTAATAAGTATATAATGCCGAAAGGTGAAGCATCATAATATATATTAAATATATGCTTGGAACAAATCCAACATTTTTCGAGTGATATTACATGTCACCGAGACCATGATTATATAGGCCGAGGCTGAAATGCAATATGGCACAAGAAAATGTATTCATTCATTTCAAGTGAATGTTACGTTAAATAATATTTTGAAAAATGAGAGTAGGCCTACTTTGTATCTCGTGCCTTGCCAATTCTTGCTACTGTTGTGGATGCGCTTTATGCTAGTTATGATATAATTTGGATGCGAAATTTGTGCTAAAGGTTGTCAATCATAATTAGTGCACGCTCATGCCAGGCGCGTAGCCAGGGGGGCGATGGGGGCGGGCACCCCCCTAAAAAACGCCGGCCAAAAAAAAAAAAAAAAAAGAGAGAGAGAAAGAAGAAAGGAAGAGGACGTAGGAAGAAAAAGGATTAAGAATGTAGAACGGTACAACGAATCGTCTTCTTTCTCTAATAATTCAATAAAACCTCAAAGCTTCCGCGCTTCGCGCGGAAGGGGGGGGGGGGGACTGAATTCAGATAGATAAGGATTAAGAGTCGAGAACGGTACAACGAATAGTCTTCTTTCTCTTATAATTTAATGAAACGTCAAAGCTTCCGCGCTTTGCGCGGGAGGGGGAAAACTGAATTCAGACAAGGATTAAGAGTCGAGAATGGTACAACGAATCGTCTTCTTTCTGTAATAATTTAATGAAAGGTCAAAAGAAACTGGTTTTAGACAAGGATTAAGAGTCGAGAACGGTCCAACGAATCGTCTTCTTTCTCTAATAATTTAATGAAACGTCCAAGCTTCCGCGCTTCGCAAGGGGGGGGGGGTAAACTCCCCCCCCTCCCTGCACCCACCCCCGAAGGGAGCGCGCTTTGCGCGCTCTTAATGATTCGCACGCTTCGCGTGCTCATTACCGCCCCCTAAAATGAAATCTTGGCTACGCGCTTGGCTCACCTCCCTGCACATATTAATAGCAAGTGAGTCTTTGTGAGTGTAATGTGAAAACTTTTCTGATCACTCCTCTCAAGTCATGATATTACGTGATGATTTCCAATTAACTGATGTTTGCTTGGATCACGTGATTCCGGCGTGATTCCAAGTTGTTCTCGCTCTCTATACGATTTTAAGTATCTAGCGATCGCAATAATTACTAGTACTGACTGTGACAGTACATACATCTATTCCGATTTCTTCGTATACCCGTTTTCACGACCGTTTTGGTGCCCATTCTGCAGCGGGCCATTCTGTTCATTGTGCGCATTTTGGTATCCGTTCTTGATTGCCTTCGGTTTGAGTTCTTTTGAAAGTGCTGTAACAAACGCCACAAACCACGTGACCTGCATTAACGTCACACAGAACATGACAAGATGACAGCTAAAATACATCGAGGTCGCGACCTCCCATAAAGTCAGGTGGTATGAGTAGGCATCAGGGGCGTACGCAGGACGTGATACGTGTGACGTCCATTCAAGGCATTACATTAAAAGGGCGTCGATCGTAGCAATCCCCATTGTCTTCGTGTAAATCTAAAAGTCCCTAATGTATCGACTTGCAGACGCGTTTGCTAAGCGGACACATTTTTTTTTTTTTTTGGTCTCGAAATTTCATAATTTGACATTTTTTGGCGTTGGGGGGGGGGGGGTAAGTTCACCTTATTTAGGTTAGCCGTGGGTATAATTTTTTTTTTTTTTTTTTTTTTTTTTTTTAAATAATAAAAAAATAAAAAAATAATAAAAAAAAAACCAAAGGGGAGGGGGGGGGGGGGTTTAGGTTTTTTTAGGGGGGGTTTACATACATAAAAATACCAAAGGGGGGGTTTGAACCCCCCCCCCCCCCTGCGTATGCCCCTGGTAGGCATAGATGAGGTACAAGTTTGGGAAGAGCACAATCCGCGTCAGAAAGAAACTCGCTAAGGCAAGAACAGTGTTGACTTTGAATATCAACGAATCCGTGCTGCAATGCTGTAAAAGGAATATAAAGGCATTAAATTATTGGAAAGTGTAAGGATAAACTGAATTGAAGTAATACTCATTTCAACTTGGATGGGTACTAGATAGCGCAGAAGTTCTAACCCGATTCTAGGTTAAGTGGGAATGAGTCGGCAACTGGCAAGGTCTTTAGAGGAAACCTCACCCTAAACAATAAGTGTAGGTATTTTGAAAATGAGATTTTTATATTTTATTCCCTGCCCTTTGATGTACAATATTCCTTACAAAAATGTACAATATATAATATGAAGATATTCTTGGCATGATTGTCATGTATCATGCCTTTAAGTATGACATGGGCGCAGCCATTTATTGAAAAATGTGACGTACCAGTTGAAGTTTTATTTCATACAAGCTTAGTTGGAAAGACTTTTTAAATAAATTCTTTACTTTTCGATGAGAAAAAAATCATAGCTGAAAAATTATTTAGTTAAAAATATATAACAGGGGAACAATAATATTGTTATAATTCATTTAAAAATACTAAAATATTGCAGTTGAAAAATATATTTCATTTATGAGAAACCTTTACCCCAGGAGAGCGCCAACTTATAAAGCAACTTTTGGGTACGTTTATGCTCAACTTTTTCTGGCCAGAATGAGGCACTTGTTACGCGTTTAGTTCAAAACACGGTTGCGTTCTTTCTCATTTTTGTAGAATCACAGAAAAACGGCGATCGTTATCGCAGATCGTAAACTCACAAAAAGGTGCGTTTTGGATCGGCGATTCTGGGAAGCATAAACGCACAATCATTTGTAAACGCGTTTAAATGAGGTCAACGTTGCATGCGCAGTGCAGGTTTGCGAATCCAGCTGCAAGGCCACCCAGCCAGAATCATGCCTGGAGGAGCCAGAGAAGTGAGCATAAACAGTACACCGTGGAACTGCGATTACGATGAGCGTTTCAAATCGCTCATTCTGCTCTCAAAATTGAGCATAAACGTACCCTTATACGTTCTGGTAATTGTAGTACAACAAAAATTATAATAGGTGAATGAAATGCTTCGTCACCGCACACATCTGGAAGGAAGCATCCATAAATTTGAATACATTTACTTGACCGTACGTCATGATGATGCCATTAGGGACTTTTAGACTTGCGTGGACTGATACGTGTGACGTCCATTCAAGGCATTACATTAAAAGGGCGTCGATCGTAGCAATCCCCATTGTCTTCGTGTAAATCTAAAAGTCCCTAATGTATCGACTTGCAGACGCGTTTGCTAATTTCCTTCGTACTCTGTTATAACTCTCATAATAGGGACTTTTATATTTGCGTGGACTGATACGTGTGACGTCCATTCAGGGCAGTGCATTAAAAGGACGTCGATCGTAGCATAGACCTAATGGCCCGAATTCACAAGGGAGGTTTGTCGACAAACCTCCTTTTTGAATTCGGGCCATTGCCTTCGTGCGAATCTAAAAGTCCCATATGGCCCGTCGCATTTGTCACTGATGACAAGTGTTGTGAAACACCCCCCCCCCCCCGGGTGTATTTCATTATTTCTGGTGAAGAGTGGGGGTGATGGCAGTTCGTTTTTAGACAGTTAGAACTTGCAAATCCTAAGGTTTAGGAGGTAGAAGTAATCCCGGGAAGTAATACATGTCATTGTCTATTTTAAAGAAATAAAGGTTCTATATAAATATGTGAGCTGAAATTAACGTTTTCTATTATTTTCAGATCTCGTTTTCGCAGTGGTCATTTTCTGTTTGATTGTGTTGTTTGTGAGTTAACTTAGATCTCTCCCCTCCTCTCTCGATATTATGTACTCTCTCTCTCTCTCTCTCTCTCTTTGTCTATTCTCTCTCTCCCTCTCTCTTCCTCTCTCTCTCTCTCTTCCTCTCTCTCTTCCTCTCTCTCTTCCTCTCTCTCTCTCTCTCTCGTTCTCTCTCTCTCTCTCTTTCCCTCTCCTTTTCTCTCTCTCTTGGTCTATTCTCTCTTTTTTTCTCTCCCATCTCATTTTATTAAAAGCTATCTCGATGAATAAGGCTTTAATTTCCATTTCGACCATGCCATCAAAGAATGATTATTACAGAAAAACACAAATCACGACAATATTGCTTTATTTCATCAAAGATGTTTATTCCCATTTAATGAATGCAATAATCAATACTTCCCACTAATGGAAAAAAAAATTTCATCAAACGCCCCCCCCCCCCCCTTTTTATCCCCCCTTTTATTCTTCAAAGCCCAACGTCTATGTTGGTGGAATGCGAATTGCCATTTCTTAACATCCGTCGTTAACTCGTTGGGGATCTCTAAAACTATACCCTTGTTATACCAATCATCCGTGAAGCTAACTTAAGTGATTTAAAAAACACATCCCTTTACTTATAAGTCGATTGGGTCGATTTGTATTAGGTCGATATATGTATTGGGTGATTTCAGCATCCACGCATATCCCTCTCCTTTTTCCCTTACAGTCCCTCTGCGTCTAGGATGTAGGTGCCCATCGCGTACACACCGAGTACGCTCTCTTTGCCAGAATCCTCGATCTGGGTATCTGGCAGAATGAACCCGTACTCGCCGGTGTCTCGGAGTTCTACGACGTAGGAGTAAGGAGCTCCCAAGCCGCCTTCTGTCTTATCAAACGTGTCGTATGGTGCATAACCCCAGTCGTTGCTTGCTCCAGCAGCCTCGTCTACAGAGAAGAAAAATCGTGTAAGATGGGATAGAGAGCGGTGAACCTGTTAGACCTCGTTCAGGTATGACGCGCCAAAACCGCTGGATTTTTTTAAAAATTATTATTTTTGGATGAAGTCTAGTGTAAATAATACACGTCATATTTTTGTATTTATTAAAGCCCTACTGTCCTACTTGTAGCTACTTGCTCCCTCTAAAATTTCCCCAATCGGTGCCTGTTGGTCCCCCATGATCCTCTTTTTCTTATGTTAGTTGAGAGCTGAGTTAATGAGATAGCCACCTGTCAGTGACCTCGCTGTGTGGTCTAATCCCTTCTGGCCCAGTAGTATTGACGGTCTTTAATAGCAAGACCCATACTTCTTATTGTAGACTTATTGTATAGTAGACTTATTGTACGTCATCTTGTAGTTGAAGTTAATACCCCCCCCCCCCCCCCTTGCTTGTAATTGACTTTGAATATTTGTTGCTTCGGTCCAGTACGAGTCCTCGTCGTGGATCGTGTGTTTATATTATTATAACTTCGAGGTTTCGCAAATTTAAAGTTTATAATACGACGGTACTCTGTGGACGTAGCTATTTTCGGTCTCTTAGGCTGTCGGGCTCGTCCGTGGGCCGCCGATAATAAAGTGGGCCGTTAGTCTCTAGGGCTATAGCCGATAATACTCACATAGCAGTTTAGCTGTGGGTCCTACTTCATAGACCGTACCCGACGTGTGGCTAGCAATGCCTGCTGCCATCGCCTCTCCGGCAGCTTGCTGTTAAAAAGAGATTCAATAAATAAGTATAGGATGGATTCAATAATTATATAATATATTCTGCAAAGACAGGAGATAGCGTTCATTAATTTTCATTCCTTTTCTTTTAAAAATTTCCCCTTAGAAGAAATGTATTAAGCGTGAACATGTATACTGTTTGAAATACGAATGATTATTTGCAATTTTGTTGATGAGAGGAAAGAATAAAACTTATAACCCCCCCCCCCCCCGTACATCTGCCCCTCCCAACAAAAAAGTACTCCCCTATCCATGACTCACCAAATCGTCGAGGTTGTCAGGATCGGGCACGGTGGCGGAGTACGACCACGGGGAAATGACGAGCTGGGAGTAGCTATGCCAGTCGATAAACCACACAAAGTCTTGGCCGTTGTCCTTCTTTTCGCGCAGGAAATCGACCACGGCCTCGACCTCGCTCTCGGACAAAGCGTACTCGCCGTGGTAGACGTTGGAGCATGGGAAAGGACTCGTTCCTGAACCTGGAGCGGGTCAAGTGTGGGGGTAGGGGGGGGGTGGGGGTTATTTATTCATTTATTTATTTCACATATTAAACAACATGGTCATTCATCGTAAAGCCCTGTCATATACAACAAATACAGAAGGAACAACAATTGAAATACAATCATGGACAACATTTCTACATATTATATGAGAGCAACTAAACTTATTATACAATAAAAGTTAAAGAAGAAGAAGAAGAAGAAGAAGAAGAAGAAGAAGAAGAAGAAGAAGAAGAAGAAGAAGAAGAAGAAGAAGAAGAAGAATGGGAAGAGAAGAAGAAGAAGAAGAAGAAGAAGAAGAAGAAGAAGAAGAAGAAGAAGAAGAAGAAGAAGAAGTAGAAGAAGTAGAAGAAGAAGAAGAAGAGGAAGAAGAAGAAGAAGAAGAAGAAGAAGAAGAAGAAGAAGAAAGAGTATTGCACAAGAACCTATACAGCAAAATCATAATTATAAAAAGAAGGGAGAACAAATCAATTGCATTCCGAATCGAATCTTCGTTTAAATGCAGTGATAATGAAGATTTGGATGGTCGGCATTCTTGCGTTAACTTGTTCCATTAAACCTCGCTTCTGAAATAAATTAATGTTTTTCTGATTAAAATCGGTTTTACATTTTGGTAATCTCGGAGGATTCATATTTGAACCGTGAGTTGTCTCTCGTTTAACTCTTACCCTTTCCTATTTAAAAATAAAGTTGAGTTCTTGGCCCCATGTCACAAAAGTGACAAATGACAGTTTTTGTTATTAGCTGGAGAAATCCTTGCTTCTGATTGGTTAGCAGCAGATTTGTCTCTGATTTGTTGTCAATTGTCATTGAAAAAAGGCTTTGTGAAACGGATCCCTTAATTGTCAGGCGATTACATTGTGAAAGAAACTGTCGGAAATATAGACTGAGGAAAGTTTGGAAAGCAACTTCTTTTCAGGAGAACCTTCTTCTAAAATACTCCTCCCAATTGACAAATAAATAAGGAGAATGCTCTCAAGCAATTTTTCATCCTCTTCACGACTCCATCTTCTCTTCATTTCTTGACCTTACCTGCCCATCCAAAAGGCCAATTTCTGTTGGGATCGGTTCCGGTGCAGCCGGAGAGGGCGTGATCCTCATTACTCGATCGGGTCTTGCGCCACATACGATCCTTAATTGATACAGAATGAAACAATTAACACTAAATGATTATAATAATAAATAAACAATAATAGCTAAAAGTGTAATAACTATAGTAACAATAATTGAATAATTATAACAATAACTAAATAATCATAATAATAATGAATCAAACTACTACTACCAATATTGCATTAATAATGATAATAATAAAAATGATAATAATAATAAAATTATCATAATAAACATCATAATAATCATCATCATTGCAGTCATTATTATTATAATTGTTATTATCATTATCATTATTATTTAAATTAGTATTATCAATATCATTTGTATTATTATTATTATAAACTTGATGGAACCAATGGAATGAAATAATAAGAAAATTGCAGTTGTAAACAAAGCTATACAAAAACACCTCGCTTCTTAAAAGGTTCCCCATATTTCACTTTGTTATTATTCTATATGTCTATCATAGCTTTGATTATACATTATCTTGTTGAATCTAATGTATATGAGACAACCTTGTTAAGGAATGTGGAACAATAAAACAAACAAACACAAATTTACAGGGTCAAATGGTAACATTCATACACACACACTTTTATAATCAATCAAGTCCAATGATAATGGTGATCAATTCTTATCGCAAATGCTTACATCTGTCCAGGTGTAGACATAACCATCTGCGTTCAGAGAAGGCACGATGTACCAGTCTAACGTGTCAAAGAACCTGACAGCCGTTGCATCACCGTCCATGAAATCTTGAAGAAGCTACGGGCAAATAGAAAGACAAATATACGATTAGCTCACACCTATTTTCATCATCACAATTGTTATCATCATCATCATCATCACCATTGCCATCATAATAGTTAGCATCGTAATCATCTTCACCATCATCATTATCAACGTCATCATCTTCATCATCATCGTTATAATTATCGAATTCATCATCATCGTCATCAATGTTTTAGTATCATCATCATTGTGATTTTCATCATCATCGTCGTTATCATGATCATTGTATCTTCATCATCATCATCATTATATCAATGTCTTTTTCACCATCGTCATCATTGTCTCATCATCATTACCATCATAATCATCTTCATCATCATCATCATCATCATCGTCATCATCCTCACCATCCTCATCATTGTCGTCGTCATCATCACCGTCATCGCCGACACCACCCGATGTTCAAGATCATTTCAAACTTACTTCTTTGGTGATGTACATGACCGTAGCGGGTGAGACCCATTCTCTGGCGTGAATACCGCCCTCAAAGTAAACACCCTTTCGCATACCCGATGAGCCACCGGTTCCTTTGATCTGTGACGGAAAAATCGATACAAGTTGGTTTCGAACAAACCTTGAACTATAAACTTTGAACTTTGAACCTTGACATTATAATCTCTTTCAGCAGCTCCTAGTAGTTATCCCGAGCTGATTTTGCTGCGCGTCACTTTTTAGGTCCTATTATGAAGTAAATAATTGCATTATCGTATACTGTGTGCAATTAAATAATCCAGACATTTGAAAGAAATAACTCTGTGAACGTATCAACGAATTCCTAAAAGAAGAAAAAAGTTGTGAATTCTTGAAGTTAAACTTGTTCCATCGGAACTCTTTGTCTTTACTACCTAGTTTTGTTTGTAATAAAATGTATGTTTTTATTTCAGTCAACAAGCTCTCTGAAAAACACTTGATTAGGCTGAAGCGAGTTACCGTGATGAAATAAATCAATCAAATGAACTTGAAATGAAATTCAATCTTACCTGAATGCCGGAGATGGTTCTTCCTTCGTACGACGTACGAGGGAGCTCGAATCTGGTCGCGATGGTTGGGTAAGCGTCAACGATGTCTGTCACCCATTGTTGTATCTATAAAGGGTTACCAAGTAATCAGACAATCAACCATTACAAAGATAAGCATAATGTAACGCAGATATATGTTTTTCATTAATTTGTGAGGCAACTGAACTTAATATAAAGGAAAACATCTATTGCGAACATAAATAAAATCACTATCTGTGGTGGTGGTGCCCCCCCCCCCTCCCAAACAAAAACATACGTAAGGAGAAAATTTACCTCGTCGTAGGGGTGATAAACTGTGTAGTCAAAGGAGGTCAGATCTTGCGTGGTCGCCCGTCGTTCCTTCCTCTCCTCATCCTGCTCATGAATAAGTTGGCCGACATCGTCGATCATGATGCTGACCTGCATCTTCTTGACAGCGAAGATGTCGAGGAAGGTAGCTCGAAGTCGCTTTGGCACCATGATGTCTACCGTGCTACCAGGGATGTTCTTGATGTCGGACCAAAAGTCGATCTGCAAGAAAAAGAGACGAGATCGTGACTCTTTCTGTTTTTCCCTTTTGTTTGAGGCTTTCGAAAAGTGAACCAATAGCACTCCTATATAAATTAAGGCTTGTTCAGATAAGGCACGGTAAACGGCCACAAAAAAATAGGCCGCCCGCCGTGGTTGTGTTATGTGTAAAATGAATGGCAACTGCGCGTAACAGGACTTGCGCGTATTCACTGAGACTGAGCTACGTGTGACAAGATAGAAAAATGGTGACGTGCATCACACTTGTCGTCATCATGAAAAGTACCGCCGCGGTTTTGCCGCGTCGCAATCTGAAAAAGCCTTAAGGCCTAGGTCACATTTACCGCGGCGGCCGTGTGGTCTAAACTATCTACGGCCAATAGCAATTAAAGGTCCGCCGCAGCATTCCCACGGTCACATACGGTAGCGGTCACATTATGTTAGGGTAGCCGCATGGCGTATTTTGAATTTGTGGAGATAGAAAATCTGCGGCTGCCGCAAGGCCTTGGAAGTGATGACGCACAGTCGTCTAAGGGCGTCCCTGCGGCGGCCGTAGGTTTTTGACAAATACTAAGGCATACACATGGTAGCCGCAAGATGCCCGCAAGGCGGCCGAAGGGGGACCATACGGCGACCGTGCGGCCAGACTGATACTACCGCTTCACCCCTGGAGTATATAAAACACAAGGCCACCTTACGTCCGACGTACGGTCGCCGCAGAACCGCTCTACGGCATGGCTACGGCGTTATAATCCCACGGCGACCCGTACGGTCTGTAAAGATAGGGATACGCCCTAGGGTGACCCTGAGGCCAGCGCAGATTCTCTGCGACCGCCGCAAATATCTCTCGATTTCGGGGATTATTATAATGATTATTTCCAAAATCGGGACATGTTTTTATTTTAGTCAAAATATTGGGGAATAGAAATTTCCCTGACGTTGATTTTCTTATACAGTCTTTGCGATCATGTTAGTAATGGTGGAGGTGAAACATGGTGACACCACATTGACTCCTGGCTTCCACAGGGTAATGGTTGTTTAAAATTGTGACTGGGTTATAGATTAAATTGGGTTAGGGTTCGATGAAGTTTTGGTTCATTTTATTGTTTAAAAAGGTGAAACGGGTCTGCATTCCCGATTTAGTTTTTGTATTATTATTAAAGTCTACACGTACAAGCATAACAAAATGTAATGGTCATGAAAGCAAACTAGAACAAAGGAAAATGCAAGTAAGCGTTAACTTGGTGGAAAATATGTTACCTCTTGAAATAAAAGTTGAGTGTTGCAAAAAATTTGGATGTGTATAGGAGAGTTTGTCGAAGTATATTGAATATTTTGAGCAATTAAATTTCAGTTAAAATTATTTAAGAGATATGAATAAAATTGAAAGAAGAAATCAATACAGTTCTTGCATCGTAGTTAGTCTCTAAACAAATTGTTAAATTATGTGATTCATTCATGTTTTCCACCGAAACAATGCCCACTGTTTTCTCGTTTACCTGTTATTTTTTCTAATGCTCAGTTTTTGTGCTAGTATTGTGTTATTTTGGCTCGTATTCAAAATCTTGATTTGGGGGTTTAATAAGATTATTCCTGCATGGGGGTACCCATTACGAGTTGCCTGTTTCTTGTATAAGATTTTAGGAAATGTGACTAACCTTTAACAAAAATAGTTATTGTGCATTTAGTTCCTTGCCTGTAATTGCGTCTGATTATTTTGTATGATTAAAAAACACAAGAGTAATACAAATTTCATTGCAATTTACAACTATAGCATGATATTAGGTCAGAATTACAGATTGAATCTTTTAGAAACACATGGTAATGTTAAGCAAAATTCATGTTTGCTATAACTTATAATCATGCACCGCTGAAGCCGGCGTCGCTTTAGCGTTGGTTTAACGGTAGCGAGCGGTAGCGAGCGTTGGTCCCGCTCCGACACCTCCATACCAACGCCAAACCAAAGTTCATCACCGCAATGGATCGCTGCTTCAACGCCCGACACCGTTCCAGCAATCCCGTGTCCGCTCGTAAAACGCTTACAACCGCTAGCTCCACCAAAGTTTGTGCAACGTTTAATCACCGCCCGGGCAAAGCTGGCGAAGCAGCGGTGGTCCAGCGTTCAAGATTTCTGCGTTGGCCTAGCGTCCACGAACTTGCGTCTAGCGGTGCCAAACTTTGACTGGGCGTTGTTGGAGCGGTGGTGAACTTTGCCGGAGCGGTAAATTGCCCGCTCCTCACCGCTCGCAATATTTTGTGCAGCTCAAAACTTTCGGAGCGGTAGGAGGGACCATCAGCGGTGGCCGAGCGTATACGGCGTTGCCTTAACGGGGGCCAACTTCTGTTAAACGGTGGTGAACGGTTACGAGCGGTGATGGATTTTTTTCACCGCTCCAGGAACCGAGCCTTAAGATAGCTGCAGGGAAATTTAGGTGAAAACAAACATTTAATTAATTACTAAAATGAGTATGTTTTCAATGCAGTTTTGAAGTCTTCACATTAATTGTGTGCGCATGCTGGAAGATTATTAGAATATTGGACTCCATGGAAGAACAGAGCCATTAGGTAAATGGCTCTGAAATGGACTAGAGTTTCTAACCGTTTTATCATTCTACTATTGTTATATAAGCCTTTGATTTTGTTATATTGTCTTATAGTTTTTATGATGATTTTCGGAAATAAAACAAACGAACAAACAAATAAACAAACACACAAACACACAAACAAACAAACAATTTAAAGACCGAAGGACAAACCTCGTCAGCCATGCTGGTCTCTAGCTCCCTCAGCCATTGCCTGTGCTCATCCGTACCAGGGGTCACACGAAGCACCTGGTATCTGTAAATTAATAAGAGAGACATATAGAGGGGTATGGAGTGATGGGGTATAGAGGGAAGAGATGGGAGATTGAGAGATAGAATAAGGAGAGAGAGGGAGAGATAGGCAAGATGGAGAGATAGAGCAAGAGAGAAGAGAAGAGAGAGAGAGTGAGAGGAAGAATAAGACAGAGCCGGAGAATGGGAATGGGAGATTATAGGGATAGAGGGAAGGGAAGAGCGAGAGGGAGAGAGAGGGGGAGAGGGAGAGAGGAAGAGAGAGAGAGAGAGAGAGAGAAGAGCGGGAAGAAAGAGGGGGAAGGAGTGATGGAGATTAAATTATTCACTTAATTTTATAATAATACATTTTTACCTCTGGCATTTTTACCTCTAGCCTTTTTACCTCTAACATTTTTTACACCGAACCGTCTTGGAAGTGCGCTGATGGGAAACCAGTATGACACGCAAATTGTGAAATCTGATCTCATTCAAATAGATTAAACTTGAAAAATTGTCTTGTTTGTATGAAATAAAATTAACCGCATATTTCCGTTGTAGTCTACATTCATTAATGCCAGCTGTCGATCAATATTAGTAAACACTATGGCAACATTGGTTAACAAGGTTGAATATTAACATTACCTCATTTTCAAATTACCACGCATTGCAAACTCTCAAGTACTAGGCTATTTATGATTTCTTTTTATTTACAATATTAAATAAGATTACGACAACGCAGGGGTTCGGTTTCGACTTTGGACTTGAGCAGATTGCCTTTTGTTGACTGTATTTTGGGATAAAATATTTTCGAAAACTAAAATTTGTCCTGGAAAGCTTGGTTGAATAATATTAGTTGAAGTTACAAGTACTTTTAGTATAATACACTTACAAATGTCTTTAGAGAAAAAACATTTGTCATCTAACTATATTTTTATGCTTTTTAATCACGTATTTTACATTTGGGCCCTCCAAATAAGAATTAGGGTACCTGAGAATTATTTGGCCATCAAAGCCTCGCGCACACAATGTATATTGTTTTTGATACCAAAATAGAGATTCAATGTGCTCCTTTTACCGAAGAAATAGTTTAAACTACACTGGCTTCCCATCAAACAGCGAATTGAATTCAAACTAGCACTTTTAGTGTACAAGTGCTTAATGCATTCTGCTCCACACTATCTGTCTATCATGCTTACTACTCCTCCAGTTTCCAGATACCATCTGCGTTCACGGAACGATCAGACACTATTACTGATCCCACGCACCAACACCAAGGCAGCCGAACGCTCATTCTCTTATGCTGGACCATCCACCTGGAACACTCTGCCACAACAACTCCGCCTATGTAGTACAGACGACACTTTCGAAAAGAAACTTAAAACCCAACTCTTTCCATCTTGAATCCATAATGTACATTTTGAGTAGCTAAATTTTATTTTCGTTCATAATATCTTAATTACTGTTCCTTGTTTAATTGTTATGATTTGTAGGTTTCTTTTCTGTTGTATAGCGCTCTGATCAGTTTGTCTGTAGTAGCGCTCAATAAGAATCAATTATTATTATTATTATTATTATTATAAACCAGTCCTCTTGACTTGCTAGAGTAGCTGATCCTTTGGACCCTTTTTGAGCAACTTCGGGGCCCCCTGTGGTCTTCTATATTTCCATATTCAATTGTATTGTGCATACTGGTGATTTCGTGTAAACATTTTCAGCCAAAAAACTTGTTATCATGAAATGTATAAAAATAACGATACGCATTAATAAAAAGGTGAACACCATTTCCCTGTTGGTACCGTCTGTGTACCTAACTATTTCTGACCGTGTTGTCATGCAGTGTTAAAACCTGTCTGCACTAGTTTGGCCAGGAGGGATTAGACCTCCCAGTGTGGTCGCTGACAGTACTGTTATCTCATCAAATCAGCTCTCAATAATTAACATACGAAAAAGGGGATCATGGGGGACCAACGGGTACCGCTAAGCCATTGTTTGCTATCTAGAAACCCAACCTTGATGGCAAACTAGTCTAGAAGAAATCAGAAAAATCACAGAAGCATGCTGGTGAAAGTTTGAATGAAATCGGACAAAAAGCGAGAAAGTTATGAATTTAAAAAAAAGGTTGCAATCACTATAGGTATGGACTCTTCAAATTGGCTGAATCGGTAATGCCTTTTTGATGTAGTGGCGGACAACCTTCTCATTATTTTGTTCCAACACACAAAATGTCTAACATTTCAATTTTTCAAAAGTGTCTGACTCGGGATGGTCTTTTTTCTTTTTAGAATACCTGTAATAATAATACTCTCTATAATATATTTTGTTGTAGTAGGATGAATTTACTTGGAAGAAAGTCAGAAATGAGTGATATTTTTGTACACGATAAACGAGCAAGTTGTCCATGACTACATCACAATAAGTTGACTGACAAAATTGCCAATTCGAGATTCGCATAGCTGTAATAATCTGATATTTTAAACATTCATGACTTTCTTATTATTGTTCCGATTTAATTCAAACTTTAGCCATTCTGTTTATCTGACTTTCTCCTTTCACTCAATTGAACGTATTACAAGGATTGGTTGCCCTTTAAATCAAGAATAACGTATTCGATTGCTTTCTAAATTGGATGTAACCAGTAGACGAATGACTGAAATCTTACACTTTTGATTGATTTAGCATAAGTAATGCAATCAACCCGACGATTTGTTGTCGACTGTATACTTGCTACTTTATGCCTGGAATCAAAACCTGGAATAACACGTAGAAGAGGGATGGGAGAAAGGGATATAGGGTGGGAGAGAGAGAGAGAGAGAGAGAGACGGAGAGAGAGAGACGGACAGACAGAGACAGACAGACAGACAGAAAGACAGACATAATGAAGAGAGATAGAGAGAGAGAGAGACTGATAGAGAGAGAGAGAGAGAGAGAGAGAGAGATGGAGAAAAGGGAGGGAAGGAGGGATAGGGGAAAAAGAGAGACTGGTAGTGAGACTGAAAGAGAAAGAAAGAGAGAGAGAGAGAGAGAGAGAGAGAGAGAGAGGAGAGGAGCTTACTGTAATCCATGCATTTAAGCAAAGGAATCACTTATGTGTAGGGCAATGCACGCTCCTCTTTCCAGTCTCTTCTTGATTTGTTAATTTTATTATTTTAATTTCAATTATTAGTCAAATATAGGTTATAATTTACAGCGGTTGTTCAATGAATTTACGGTTACTTAAAGGAAGTGGAACACGCCCTTGCCCCTTCAAATGGGCTAGTGTTCTTTGAGGTGTTTTTTTCAGAAGACAGAAAGCATCAAACTTACCCACTGTAGTCCTTGGCCGCGAAGGCCGAGACGATGCAAACTAGAACAATAAAAAGGCCCCTCATCTTGTCGACTCCAAGACTCTAAATGAACCAAGGCATCAACTTATCTTGAGACTTGAAGAGAAGGAAATATCCCTGGCTTTCCCCATCGATGTGAAATACAACGGCTGCTGCAAATAATATTACGCGACAATCGGATCCTCGTCCCGATTTCAAGATAAGATAGCTCCTTTTTTTAAATAACACTTCTTGGTGCAATTAAGAAACAATTTGAGATAACCGTTAATTGGTCAGGGTTTTTCGATCTACATGTTCAAAACTCTATAATAACCTATAATTGTCTTGTGGGATTCGCCGCCACGCGTGCCAAATATCTAACTACAAAACAAACATGACAATCAACCTTCTATAGACATAGTTGATAGGGTGCCATAGCATATAGTGGCCATTTTTTTCTCGTTTGGCATGGATTGGGTCATTGTGTAATTGCAGATAATGGGAATTTGATAATGTCTCGCATTAATTGATTAGTTTTATGACAATAAATTTGCTAAAGTTATCTTTTGTTATTATTATTAAAACTTCAATGATCATTGGGCTGTGTGCCAATCTGTAATTATGCTCATTTAACAATCCATTAAACCAATTAATCAATTGAAATAATGACACTAATTAGTGTGTTTACATATTATATATACACATGTACATAGATACTGATTTTAAATGACTAGATTTTCATATTTGTATGTTTTCTACTTCATTTAACAAATGCCTTGGCACGTAATTATAATTAGAGCGGTAATTAAAATCAAATTATTTGTATTCTTATTATGATGATAATGACGTATATTATTATTTTTTGTATTACTAGTATTATTATTATCATCATTTTTATTCTAATCATCATTATCATCATTATTGTTATTATTATTATCATTATCATTATTGTTATTATTATTGATATTCTTATTATTCTTTTTATCATCGATATCCTTGTTATCATAATCATTAGTGATAATATTATATATCTATTATCATCGTCATTATCATCATCATTCTTATTATTATATGTCTTCAAAATCTTTCTATAATTTATTTCACTCTGTATTCTTAATTTATCACATTCTATACAGTGCGTAAACAAAAAGGTGTATCCAACTTTGGTAGCTCCTAATCAGAAAGTAACAAACTTACAGCCTTTTCACACACAGCTAAAATTATATAAACATGATTAGTATAAACGTGTTTAAACTAATCACCTGAACATACGACATCATTCACACACAGAAATTTCGGTGCGATCGTTAATCGTTTCGTGATTAACTACTGCTCGTAAAATGCGCAGTAGTGCCATTGCGCATTGAAGGTCATGTCATATCAATCAAAGCGCACGCTCCATTCAGTATATGACTTTTAAATATATTTCATGATGAACAGTTACTTGTTTTTTGTCAAATGATACCTTTTTCATAATATTTCTGCCACGGGTGACTGGGCACCAGGGTTTTTAAAAAATGTTGTCAAAAAGACCTTGTACTAAATTTGGGCTGACGGAATGAATGTGGGTCAGGCCATATGCACTGATGTGCTAAAGGAGCATAAGGTGTTTATCTCGAATAACGAATGAAATTTAAAAAAAAAGAAGATTTCTACACTCAATTGCAATAAAGAACAAATATGATGATAAGTACCAAAGAAATTGACAGTAGACTTCCATTAATAGAGATAACATCCCAAATAGACTCCTACCATTTTGTATCATTCGATGAGAAGGGTTAGCTTATTAAAACGAGGGATGCAAATGAAGTCAAGATATTAATAATCATTAACAAAAGAATTTTACAAATTTTGCTTGTAATAGGTTATAATTTTTTAATAAGAAGCTAAAAAACTAATTTTTGAAACGCACAGTTGAATACTCCCTTTGAAAGTGCCAGACACATCTTCTGATGAAATGCTCCCCTCAGGTATTTTTCTTTCAACCCTCTCTCTCTCTCTCCCCCCTCTCTCTATCCCTCTCTCTCTCTCTCTCTCTCTCTCATTTTCTCTCTCTCTCTCTCTCTCTCTTTTACTCTCTCTCCCTCCCCCTCTCTCACTCTCTCTCTCTCTCTCTGTCTCTCTCTCTCTCTGTCTCTCTCTGTCTCTCCCTATCTCTCCCTCTCTCTCCTTGTCTTCGTGTGCATGTTGAGTTATCAAACAAATTTTGCTGGTGAAATTAGTGCCCCACCTTCGTAAATTTACATGTCTATACTAGAACTGCAATATATGCCCAACGGCACATGTGCAGGCTTGCAAAGGGTATTTTTCATGTGATTGGGCAGTCATACGGAACAATAAATCGTACCAAAGTGTAGTAACCCTCTTTCCTAATGAACAAATCTTTATTTCCTCCCCCTCTCTCTCTCCTCTTTCTTTCTCTCTCTCTCTCTCTCTCTCTCTCTCGCTCTTCCCCTCTCTCTCTCTTTCTCTCTCTCTCTCTCTCTCTCTCCCTCTCTCTCTCTCTCTCTCTCTCGCTTTTCATTCTCTTATCTCTCTCAATGGGTGTGAATGTATAGGGCCGAGGGGGGGGGGGGGGCGTTAAATTAATTTTGCTGATGAAATTAGTATCCCCGTCAGGCCTTCACTTCCAGCGATCGCAGCAATTACACCGACATCGAAAGAGAATATAAATCACACAACAGAATACGTCGTGATGGTCATGAATTTAATTTGGCGAACACATTGGTTCACATGGTGGGTCTGATTTAAGTGGCGTAGCGTTCATGGCCCATCCATAAGGGAGGGGGGCAATGATGTCATGATGGGGCACCTTTCTTACTAAACTCTAAAATTGCCGAGCATGAGGGCAGTCATGGTTGTGTCTGACCATAATTTGACCAACATTGCGCAATAGTCCTATGTCCAACTTCGGTAATGTTTTGCCCAATCATGATTACATTTTACTACAATAGTTGACAGTTGGTCGGACACTTAATTACAGTGTACCTTCATGTTTGGCAATATATTTGTTTATCGCAAGATGAGCAAGGCAATCGAGTAAATGGATGGGGGGGGGGGGAGTAGATCCTGTCATCTCCTTTTCACGTTGTACTATCTCCCTTCCCATTTCCCTTTTCACCCTTTCCCTTTTGACCATTTGATGGGGGAGGGGGGGGGGGCATCCCCCTTGCCTCCTTACACATTGCTACGCCACTGTCTTTTTCACAATATACGTAAGACCAGAGTCACGTTATCTCTCTAGCCACGTGTTTAAGGAAGATAAAACAGTCATGTAGGTTTACTCACATGAAAATAAATATCGGATTATTGGCACTTAATTGGCATTACAGAACAATAATAACGTAGTTACTTTTTCCATACCTCAATTGATTAAAAAAAAACACCTTTGTACATAATCGTGGCGTTAAAAAAAAAATCGTCTATGTCTTTTGCCTACAACAGATACATTAAACATGTTCAGACGACATTGAGTCATAAGGATAAACGTCACGGACATTATGATGATGCAATGTCTAAATGTGTCGTACAGTATATTATAGGCGCTACTTTCAATGTATGCAAGTTAAGTGGGGTATTCATTAAGACATTATAATGATAATAGACACACTATAATTATGAAGGATTATGGTCGCACAGAAAATATTATTGTTAACGCCGTGTTCATAATCAAAAACATTTATTTCGATATTAAAAAATACATCTCAATACTTATGTAAAAATCCATTGATCTCGCAATAAGAAGAGATGGGAAAGAGAATGAGAAAGAGAAAAAAGATAATGAGAATGAGAAAAAAAAAAGGGATAAAGAATGAGAAAGAGAAGAAGGGGGAGAGAAGAGAGAAGAGGAGGGAGGAATCTATGGGCGTAAATCATTTGGATGCATATTTTTATGAGGTGTCGAGACACAACACGGTTTACCCAAGCTTCTGAATTTGTTTGGGATTTTTTTTTTAATTGTTAGGTTGCGAAAGCCCGGTTCATGCACAGCAAGGCGTCAATTCGATTGCGTTATTACCCGCACTAATTAAGCCTATGTGAGCTAATAGTTCATACGCCAGTTTTTCAAAACAACGTTTCTACTTTTCGCTTTGCACTCACCTTTTTTGTTAATACAATATCACTTTCAAACGGCACGTCAAAGAACGCACCCCTCACTGACGCATCGCTACGTCAGGCAGCGTATGGCGCCTCGTGTGGGACGAGCATTATTCCTTACGTCTAGGCCCATTGCCTACTGACGCTGATGATATGACTGGTTATCTATTTGCGTATAGAAACCACAAGGTCATGCAAACAGTCTCCCTAAAGCAGCTGGCACTTACACACGAATTATATCGGCCATTGGGTTCCAGCTCCGTCCGTATGCACTGCATTTAATCTATGTAGCTTCTCTCCATCCAGGTGGTAAATTGGTACCTGGTAGGAAACGAGCGTCATCAAATTAGCGCATGCGCTACTGTGTCTTTTAAATGGCGATTTGAAATGTTCCAAAATGGAGTGGATAGTGTGTATTGAATCCATCGAACAGGACAATACAACGCTTCCACCACGTTTTATGCCCGGTGCATGCATACGAGACATCATGTGCTGACGGAAAACAGCGCCAGTCACTGGCGAAGTCTGTGATAATTATCTTTGAGGCGCCGTGTTTGAGTGACGTCGTACAAAAGGTGGATGCAAACAGAATAGTACAACCACTTGTACATGAGTTGTCTAATTGCCGCCCCATGCTTATTAGCGCAAGAAATAGCGCATCGGATTAAAGGTAAAGTTCAAGTTTAAGTTCAAAAGAGGAAACAATTTAAACAAAAAACATTTATCATCGAGATACTCAAAACACGACAGCAACCACTTTTGAAAGAAATCAACTCTAGGGTAATTTCAATAACGCATTTTATATCCTATAGTAATCATGTTCGGATTACATCATGCGTCATTGTTATGTTCACACATTCAAATTAAAGGTGACGGACAAGGCTTTTGAAATTGCCTTATTTCGATTTGTCTTTGCAATCAGGTTCCCATTTCATTTAAAAAAAAAATCAAAGTCCAATAAATAAAAAAATTGAATAAATAACACCCTTTTTCCGGCCTAAATGTTACCAGGAGCAGACTGCAGTCCTTCTCTCCTACTACGAGTGTCTGGGTCGACGTATTCAAACTTATCTGCCAAGTTAGGACTGCTCTTGTCGTGAGTTTGAACATTGTGTTCGCTGGCGGACACCTTTGAGGCCATACCGGTCGTCTCTGGGTTGAACGAGCAATCGACGCGACGACACTTCAACACGACGAAAAGGAACTTCCGGTATCCTTTCCTGAAGTTCTCGTTCGTCAGTCCATAAATGATGCTGTTGACGCTGCTGTTGAAATGCGCGAGGAACGCCACCGACATGTACACGCTATCAGGAACCTCGTGGGCCTGGTCGACCAGTGTCAGCAACGTTTCGGGAAACCAGAAGATGGCATACGCGAGGACCAAAATGAATATCGACCGGAGAAGTTTGGCATCGGACTGCCGCAGCTTCCTCTTGACCTGCGATTTGACGCACGACGAACCCGCGAACTTCTTGAGCTCGTGACCGGACGAGTGCGCGTAGGCGTATATCCCGATGTAGCTGAAAGATATTACCACGAGCGGTACCCCGACCGCCATGATCTTCAAGAAAAGAACGTAGCTTAAATCACCTCTGATATCATAAGTGCACATCATGTATTCCTCGATGAACTTGTGGCTGTTCCATCCGGTCAGATTGGGGATGTCCAGAAGGACTCCTGCGAGCCAAGGGACGAGCAGATGGATCCAGAGGTTGCCCTTGTTGTAGATCCTCCGGTAAGATAGCCGGTGGCTGATCGCGATGTACCTGTTGAAGGCTATTGAGGCAATACACCAGAGAGAACACACGCAGCTGTGGAGAAAATGGAATAAGATCAACAGAATGATAACAATCTATCATTTAGATAACAATCTATCATTTACAGTCACTTTGATAGTAAATGACAATCATGGGTTCATGTGCATGTAGTGATCACATCTGTCAGACTAGACACTCATGATGCTTAACTGTTATTAGCCCAACACAGCTTTAGCTTGGCTGTATATGACAGCCCTCAAATATTTCAAGGGATAAATCCCTGCCAGGTACTCATTGGCCTTACCTGGGCCAATTAATGTGGCAAATGTAGATTAATATCTTTAAAAATTACATGTGTACCATGAAAGGAACTTGAAGCCTTATTTTGTGATCCGTAGTCCGGTAAAAATCCAGTAGACCACAACATCTATATACACCTGTTTCTAAAGAGATCATCTAAAGCCAGAAGTGTAATTGTCAAAATTTGGAAAGCTAAATTTTCCATGACTTTCTATTAGAAGATCTTTGGTTCAAAACCATTGAAATGAGGTATTTTCTTTAAATTTTCTTCTCTCGGTCGATGTTTAGATAATAGGAAAATTACTTACGAGCTGGTATGAAAAAGATACTAGAAACTGGATATAGGAGAGACAGGAAGATAGAGAGAACGACAAAAGGGGAAATGAGAAAAAACAGTTAGAGAAAGAGAGAGAAAGAGAGAGAGAGAGAGAGCGAGGAGGAGGATTGCAGGATATGGATGGAGAAAGAGAGGGGAAAGACAGAGAGAGGGACAGAGAGAGATATGAAAGAAAAAAACTAGAGAAATAGTAGAGACAGGAAGATATAGAGAACGACAAAAGAGGGACGTGAGAGAAACACGAAGAGAAAGAGAGAGAGAGAGAGGAAGAAGAGAGGAAGAAGAGACACATGAGAAACACAGTATACATGTATCTCGAATTATAACAGTAAACATAAAGTGAGGTTTTATTGTGGAAACAGGAAACATAATCACAGATGTGTATCAGATCAACACCATGAAAACATAGATAAGAGTAATATATCCATACCAATCATATTAATTGTATCCGTCTGAAAATACAACTTTATTTCACCCGAGCGACTCGTCAGTCATTACCATGGGTGTCGATCCCGGGGGGGATGGGGGGGATATATCCCCCCCAATATTTGAGGTGGGGGGGATGGCCTGTACAATCATCCCCCCCAATAATTCACCATCAACAACAACAAAAAAAGAAGAGAAAAATAAATGATGAGAGCCCGATTAGAGTAGTTAATGGTTATTGCTCGCAAGATGACCATCAATATTCACAATTTGCTATCTCATTTTCATTATACTCGTCGCTGTTTTCTTACATACATATATACCAAGTAAATGAGACAACCGTATATGAGACAAGAATAAATTGAATTCTCACTCATACGGCTTCATCAGGAATTGATAAATTTATTCAATTTGTTCAATCAACAGCATCATAGAAATGCAGTGCGCCAAATGCAAAGACGCAGCGTTAAAAAGCAACGAGCTAAATGCTAAGCGCGTGAGCGAAAAAGTAGCAATCTGCAATGCACATCAGACAATCCTGGACAGTGTAAACATAGATGAACTCTGTGACGAACTTGTGATGAGATAGGAGACAAGGAGAAAGCTTCCGCGCTTCGCGCGCGGGCGGGGAAACTGAATTCAGAAAAGGATTAAGAGTCGAGAATGGTACATCGAATCGTCTTCTTTCTTTAAAAATCTAATGAAACGTCAGAGCTTCCGCGCTTCGCACGGAGAAGGAGAACTGAATTCAGACAAGGATTAAAGGTAATACAAAGTTTTGGGAAATTTTGAAAATTGGGTGGATAGTGACTCTTTACAATTTTGATATAATATTTGGATGCCCCTGTGGATGTATTATAAGCACTAGAAAGTTTAGCCCCTAAAACACTCCTACTTTCGAGAAAAATTTAATATAAAAATTTACCGGTGCTCCCGGTAAATTTTTATAAATTTCACATAGCACCTACGGCTGTTCAATGGTAGCTACGACCATAAAAATCTCACAATATGTAGTTGTGATATATAATTTTCAAACGGGAATAGCTAATCGGTCGATTTTAGTTAATAAACATTGTTTTATAGCTTAATTAATATCTTGACCTTGAGAGGGAGCTATACAACATAAAGAGTTTATTATTTACAATTTTATAACTTAAGACTCGATTTCAACAGCGACAACGGTCACTGAATATTGTAGGATCGCATTGGCTTCCAATAAGATCATTTGCACCAAATTCAAGACCCCATACCAAAACTTTGTAATACCTTTAAGAGTCGAGAATGGTACAACGAATCGTTTTCTTTCTTTAATAATCTAATGAAACGGCAAACGGGGAAACTGAATTCGGACAAGGATTTAGAGTCGAGAATGGTACATCGAATCGTCTTCTTTCTTTAATAATCTAATAAGACGTCAGAGCTTCCGCGCTACGCGCGGACAAGGGGACCTGAATTCAGACAAGGATTATGAGTCGAGAAGGGTACAACGAATCGTCTTCTTTCTTTAATAATCTAATGAAACGTCAAAGCTTCCGCGCTTCGCGCGGGAGCAGGGAAACTGAATTCAGACAAGGATTTAGAGTCGAGAACAGTACAACGAATCGTCTACTTTCTTTAATAATCTTATGAAACGTCAGAGCTTCCGCGCTACGCGCGAAGAAGGGGAACTTGATTAAAACATTAAGGATTAAGAGTCGAGAATGGTACATCGAATCGTCTTCTTTATTTATTAATCTAAAGAACGTCAGAGCTTCCGCGCTACGCGCGGAGGAAGGGGAACTTGATTCAAACAAAGATGAAGAGTCGAGGACGGTCCAACGAATCGTCTTCTTTCTCTAATAATTTAATGAAACGCCAAACTTCCGCGCTTCGCGGGGGAGGGGGGAAATTCCCCCTCGATCCCTGCACCCAACCCCCTAGGGAGCGCGCTTCGCGCGCTCACTACCGCCCCCTCCCTAAAATGAAATCCTGGCTACGCGCATGGGGAGGGGGTGTAAACTGCCACACGCTTTATCTCATGGTTGATTTGATCCATTGCCGAAAATATTTTGGCACCTATCATCCCCCCCAACCACGGATACAAATCGACACCCTTGGTCATTACGACATACTATCCTTGACATTGACACAGTTGCTCAGCATGGATACGACCAATGACTGATGAGAGTAGGTCACAAAATATAATTTATAATGACGATTTGACGATGCTTACTACCAGAGTTTAAGTTTTACAAGCTATTTTATTATCGCACACCATCAACGTAGGTTGTAAATATTAGCGTCACCTCCAAGACTTCGAAGATGAGTTATTACTAAGAAAGGTCGGGAATGCCATCGTTGTTGTAATGAAGGAAATGCAATTGTCCAGACAGTGGTGCTTTTTTGAAGGACATTAAGTAAAACCAAAAGGTGGAGTTGTGGAAGATGACGATCTCCCTCCTAAAGAATTGCAGTAAAACCAAAATTATACCATGTTGTTACAGCTACCAATAAAAGGCATAATTGTTTGGCGTCTGCATGCTTTCTCAGCTTAGGAGAAAATGTCCTCATTTCGATCATATTTCTTTTAATTTCAAGTTATTCATAACAAGAACTAATATTCGGACAACCGCCACCTTTTTTCTGGCAGTTAGGTACCCGAATATTTGAATTCTAAATTCCAATACTCTCTTCCCTCGTTTAGATTTGGGGAACGTTTGCCTGATGGGTTTGTTGCTATAAGCCTTTTTGAAACAGGCAGCATTTCTGACATCAATTTTGAGAAAGAGCGGCCGTCACACCCTCGGGTCAAATATCTACACAATAATTATGGTTATATCGTAATTTGACATACGCCATTACGAGAACGGCCTCTTCTTCTTCTTCTTCTTCTTCTTCTTCTTCTTCTTCTTCTTATTCCTCTTCTTCTTCTTCTTCTTCTTCTTCTTCTTCTTCTTCTTCTTCTTGTTCTTCTTTTTCTTCTTCTTCTTCTAATTCTTCTTCTTCTTCTTCTTCTTCTTCTTCTTCTTCTTCTTCCTTTTCTTCTTCTTCTTCTTCTTCTTCTCCTTCTGCTTTTCCTCCTTCTTCTTCATCTAGGCCTATTATTATTATTATTCGCCGTCGTCTTCTTGTTGTTTTCTTGTTGTTCTTCTATTATTATTATTATTATTATCATCGTCGTCATTAATATCATCATCTTCTTCTTCTTAATGTTGTCTTTTGATACTCGAACAATATGATTCTATCAATTTAAGCGCGTTTCCAATAATCTTCCTGCATTTGAGAAAACAAATTTGAATCAATCAATTGAATATTTTCTGACTTTACACTGAACCTTTACCCACCAAATAATGCAAGTTGCTCCAATGAAATTACAAAGCAAATAATGGCTCTCGAAATAAGCTTCCCCCTTAAAAAGACCAACGAGAGCGAAAGCGTTGATGATCGTCGACACGAAGAGGTCGGCAACGGCAAGGTTGACGATGAAAGCGTTGCTGAGCACACGCAGTCTTCTCTCGGCGAAGACGGCCCCGATGATGAGCACGTTGCCGACCAGGCCCATGACCATGGCGATGATGGTGAGGAACAGGAATACCCATTGTTTAACGTCATCGTCGTCGCCGTCATTGCCGGTCTCGTTTGAATGATTTAACTTGCTTTCGTTCGTCCAAGACATTGATACGCTGTCCGTTATGTATGACGTGACGTCGAGTGAAACTGACGTGGCCATTTTGTATTGTCAGCTTGTTTTCCTTTCAAAAGAAGCTTCAAAGTTCCAAAACGTCTCAAAATATACTGCCAAAAATTGTATGAGTGCTTATACTCCTCGAAATGTATGGAAAGTATCAATCATTTGCATATAACTATATACACTGCAGACATAAACATTTCAGTGTGCTGATGAACTAGTATTTCTATAAATATGGATCATCAACGTCATATGGCGTTTATCAAAACAAGCTTCAATAATCGCCGCCAGATCACTTGAATAAACAGCATTCTTATAAACAAACCGTTATATTTCTGTTTACTGCGGTATGATAGCCACTCGAGACTCAAGCCAAGAGTGATGACTGATAAAGCAACACTTGAAGTTAATGTCCCGAGTTCATATTCATACAGATCTGTACCTACGTCTTCAGTCTTGGATATGTTTCCTGTTTGTTCGTCGGTAATACACACGATCTAAAGTCAAAATTATGAATCTGAAGGAATATGCCGTCCAATATTATTCAAATCTTGAGGGTCCTTAATAATTTTATGAGCAAGGTCAGAATGTCATTTAAAAAGATGTCCTCTTCAAACTGTAAAGCGTGCCTAGCGTAAATAAGTATAACATTATATTACATGCTTCTTCAAAAAACTAAAATCCGCCTTCTTTAGAATAGAGGTCCAGTTTAAAAGACTGCAATATATCCACCGTTTTCCACAATAATTGTAAGCCAGTCACAAATTCTTCTCAACTGACTTGCTGATGATAGAATGTCGGAAATATATCGGAAACTTGTTATGACGTAATATTATCCACTTATAATCCATGACGTACATAAAATCGATCATCGAAACGCAGACAAAAAATATCAAAACCAATTAAACGAAGCAACCAATGATATTGCTCGCGAGATTCCTCTTTTGTCTAGAAAGGGCGCGAAAACAAAAAAATATCGTCCGTAAAGTTTGAGTCAGCTCTTCTCGCCTGCCGATTAGAATATGCGTTAAATTGTAAAGTGTGTAGGAAGGGCACGGTGCGATCGCATCTCTTCGGGGTTTGTTTACTGCAATGGGGCTCGATGAATTGATGAGTATGGAGAAGGGGAGGGTGGAGGAAGAGGAGGAGGAGAAGAAGGGAAGAGTGGAGGAGGAGGAGGAGGAGGAGGAGGGGAGGAGGAGGAGGAGGAGGAGAAGGGGAGAGTGGAGGGAGAAGGAGAAGGAGGAGGAGAGGGAGAGGGAGGAAGGAAGAGGTTTGTTAGGCATAGCTGTTTACAAGAGCGTTAAAATACGCCATTTTATTAATCAATGAATTAATCATTTCTGGAGAGTTAGTTGTAACTGCATTGTGAATTTTTTCGCTGGGGCTCGATGAGTTGATGAGTCTGGAGAAGTTAAGAGTGAATGAAGAGGAGGAGGAGAGGGAGGAAGGAAGAGGTTCGTTATCATAGCTATTACAAGAGTGTTTAAACACGCCATTTTATTAATCAATCAATTAATCATTTCTAGAGAGTTGGTAAAAATGTTCCACTTCATTGTGTAGCTTTCCATGTAGCATATCACTTAATCTACCAGTCGATTCGTTTCTGCGTTTTCTGGAGAGTTATTTGGAAATGTATATAATGAAATTTGTAACGATTTCTTAGATCACAGTACGTCACAGAGCAGCGGACCGTAGCTTTTTAAAAGAATGTTACACCACTTGATTAATTAATTGATTCGTTTCTTCGTTTCTGGCAAGATATCCTTGGAAATTTGTTAACTTGGTCGTGTACTCACATCTTTTTAAGATACGTTACAGACTTTGGTTCCGTTTTCATAGGGTTTTTTTTCAGGAAAGTAATTTCAAACCACTTGATTATTATATTAATTGGATTTCTCCTCTTTGATAGTAATTTGGAAAGAGATAATTGAATTTTGTAACTCCTTTGTGTTGTTGAATTGACAATGAGTCACATAGCAAATGGAATAGTGAAAATTAATGAAATATATTGTTTGTAAAAATGGGATTATTAAGATCTAATTGCTTTTCCGAAGCACAAGTTGATAATATTTTAATTGTTTGTATGGTGTTATTTATTCTTCCTGAAAGGTTTCGTATTTTTGTCGACAAGTTTGAAAATCTGACAACCATTTTCTTCCTTTTCACTCCCTTTTGTTTATGGGAAACTTGGCTAAAAATTGGTCCAACATCCCCCACCCCTCCAATAAAAAAATACCTCTCGTCACCCCCCCTACTTACATCAACGCCCCCTGCTTACAGTGGCATGCATGGACGAAAGCATTGCTTTGCTCAGAGAGCATTGTATTACTATCAATGGGGTAACGTGAGTCCGGCAACTGAGGGGCACCGATGCCACAAAGAGGGGGGCACTGGTGGTGCTAGATATATATGAAATGCGAGGGAACATTGCCATCGTTTAAGGTTAGGGTGTTGGAGTGGGCAGTGTATTATGCTCACCCCCTCTCTCTCTATCTCTCTCCACTCTTTTATTCTGCTATCCCTTCCATTAGCCATGCAATAGGAGGCAAAGGCCCACCACGTGCCCCCTGGCGTATTGACGGAGGGGGAGCTGGGGGCAATAAACATGGTTTATTTCTAATTCCGTAACAGTGATTTACAAATGTTGCTGAAATGACAGGATTTTCCGGGGTTTTTCCGGGGTTTGGGCAAATTATACCTTTTTCCCCCGTCCCCCCCCCCACAAAAAAAGAATCTTTTGCTCATTACTCCACGGCAGCTATATTTACACCCTTAGCATAGAGCTCCTGTCTTGAATCACGGTGAAAATGATGACCGTGGTAAACAGATCGTAAATCTAATGGCGTCAACACTTTCCACACACTGTAAATTACAATACTGTTTTGAACGTGTGTGCCACGTGACCATGTTTTTTTCAAGATTTGTATAGATGTAAAGAATAAGGTAACATTCCTTCACTGAAAGGTCCGAAACCAATTTTTATGGTTTCAAATATTGTATAAAAACACATTATACAAACATAACTGACATTTATGAATTGACAATTTTTGTTTGTTTGTTTTTGTGTGTATTTGTATTTGTATTTTTATTTGTATTTGTATTCATTAGAAAACTTCATTCACGTGGTACATGATTATTTTGTTTTACAATACATAGGTATGATGTTTTGGTCATTACCATTTTCATATAGTCACTACTTAAGTCTATCAAAAGCTGGCGGTGGCAAATATTTCTCATTGACATGTCCATTTCTTCTCCAACGATTGTATCACTATCGATAATACCTTATATTTCTAGACATTTATCATTATCATCTACATATAGTTTACATTCTTGAGTAGCTAGTGCATGTTCCCTAGCCAACATGCAGATTTGTTCTTAACCATTCTTTTGTTTCCTTGAAGAGAGCGATATAATTATGAATCACTATTTACATTTCCCATGCGTGCATAATACTTTCCTAAGTTTCGACAGAATTAAACTTAACAGTAAAAGCACCCCACACCTCTGGCCTATGTATGGGCCAGAGGTGTGGGGTGTTATATATAACAGTATTGGTTTTTACCAACACTGTTATAATATGGGTCAAATAATCGTGTCGCTATATATATGAGGGAGGTCATACCCAAATTATTTGAACAATCTTTAAATAAAACTCTTTAAAAAAAATCTCGTATATTTGCCACTGTGTCGTTGAATGTACCACAGTAAAGATGAGACCTAAATAAGTTTCCTGATTAATAACTTCTATGTTTTTACCATTTAACTTGAAATACTGTTCTTTTTTGTTTTAATCCAGTTTTATTACAGATCAGCATTTTCGTTTTGTCTATATTTACCTTTAACAACCATTTATTACAGTACACTTCAAGTCTATCTGGCGGTGTTTGCATTCCACTTCTTAACTTTGATACTAGTACGATGTCATCTTCATACGTTAAACACTTTTGATCTGTATCAATAGTTCCCAATGTGACAACTAATTTAAATAGGCGTGTACATGTCAATAAGGGAGAACCTGTCAGCATGAACACTCAGTTTTAGGTTTTTAATACATATTAGTAATAACTTCGTAACTTGGTAGTTAGTTTGTTTGTTGTTGTGGAGGGGGGGGGGGAGGAGGAGGCAATACACTAAAACTACATTGGATAAATTTTGATATTTGGATTTAGATATGGATGGGGGTAGTATAAGAGCAGGGGATTGTCAGAATTGTCGTTCAGTTAAGTCGAATAAGATAACAAAAAAATGTATCACACAAACGGTTGTAACATTTTCCTTCGGAACTGAGCGAAATAAAAAGTACTCGAGTGGTGAGATATTAATTATGTAAACCGGTAGATTGCCGTATAATAAATTGAATTCTTATTTATTTTCTGTTGTTTGTGCTTATTGATGTTGTTGTTTCTTTTTTTGATACGTTTGCTATTGCTCTTTTTGTTATAATGCCTTTAGAAAATAGTTATTGTGTTGCCCTTAAGTTTAGGTGCCAAATCATGAGTCGGTCGGTCGGACATTTTTTGCTTGTTAATACATTTTTTCCCTCCCTCTTTGGGCTGATATTTCTCAGTTTTTAATGCTTTAAAGCCCCATCACTCCAGTTTGGCTAAAAGGGATTAGACCTCCCTGCATGGTCACTGACAGGCGGTTATCTCATCAAATAAGCTTTCAACTAAAATAAGAAAAAGAGGATAATGTGGGACCAATTATTCATCAAACATTTTTTCTCTAAAAAACGGTAATTAAAAATAACTTTAAAAAAAAGGCCGACTGTAGATTTCAAAATGTATGGGTCGGTCGCAAAAGGCGATACAACATCTTTTTTTTTTTTTTTTTTACGCCTTATGCATTAGCTATCTTTCTTTTTTGTTTGTTTAGAGAGAGAGAGAGTGGATTCAATTTAAAGATTATTTTTAATGTTCTAACACGCATTGGCGTCACTATACGTTGTCCTCATGTTTACTCACCTTACAATAATAATAGATCTTTCTTTGTTGTGCCTATTTCCTTAGCTTTCGAGTATGTCAATCAATGTTTATTGATATTAA